GGAGAGGTCTTTTCCTGCTTTCTCCTCTAAGGTTTTGATGGTTTCCTGTCTCACATTCAGGTCCTTTGTTCATTTTGAGTTTATTTTTGTGAATGGTGTGAGAAAGTGCTCTAGTTTCAACCTTCTGCATGTTGCTGTCCAGTTCTCCCAGCACCATTTGTTAAAGAGGCTGTCTTTTTTCCATTGGATGTTCTTTCCTGCTTTGTCAAAGATGAGTTGGCCATACGTTTGTGGGTCTAGTTCTGGGGTTTCTATTCTATTCCATTGGTCTATGTGTCTGTTTTTGTGCCAGACAAATGAGTTTTAATGGAAATAATAGAAATCCATACACAGTGGAATATCTTTAGCCTGATGAATGAAAGTAACTACCAATGTTCCATTCTATGCACAGTGAAAATATTCTTCAAACATGAAGGGAAAGTAATACATTTTCAGACCAATAAAAGCACAGTGAGAAATTGAAGATATACAAATCATGAGGCACCCGGGTGGCTCAGTCAATTAAGCATCTGACTTCACCTGAGGTCATAATCTCATGGTTTGTGAGTTTGAGCCCCGAGTGAGGCGCTGCGCTGACAGTTTAGAGTCTGCTTCGGACTCCGTCTCCCCCCCACCCCCTCTCTGCACCTCCCCTGTTTATGCTTTCTCTCTCTCAAAAATAAATAAATAAACATTTTTAAAAAACGTATATAGGAACACATTTTTCCTTTTGCCTCAGCCTCCAAATTGGCTGTACTCTGCAGTGTACTCAGAAAGTTCTAATAGTGTTTTCTATTCATTTTACCTATTCCCTCTTTTCTTGACTTCTTTTGGGTGGATTAAGTAGCACTCTGAGATGGCCTTAGTCCCTTTACAGACCCTTTCAAGGGGAGCTGATCCAGCTCACTGTCCATTTAGGAAAAAATGGGAAAAGGTGGTAGAAGATAGAAGCTTACAGCAGGGCCCTGTGTTGCTAGGGAGCAGACCTCTAAGGACAGGGCCCTGTGAGGTGGTGCAAGTGTTCTAAACATGAGTTGGCAAGGCTACTCGATGACAGCCAGAAGTTGCAGACTGCAGCCAACTGTCACTGTTGGAACAGGAAAACCTCTTTCAGTTTGCTCTGTCGCCCCTATTGACAGAATGTAACAGGAAACCAGCTAGGCTTCTAGGAAATGTGGTTTTGAGAGTTTGAGCACCAGGGGCACCTGGGTGGCTCAGTCAGTTAAGTGTAGGACTCTTGATTTCAGCTTAGGTCATGATCTCACAGTTGGTTCTCATGGGTTTGAGCCCGGAGTTGGGCTCTACACTGACAGTGAGGAGCCTGCTTGGGATTCTGTCTTTCTCTCTCTCTGCCCCTCTCTTGCCCAATCTCTCTCTCTCTCCCTCTCAAAAATAAATAAGCATTAAAAAAAAATAGGGGTGTCTGGGTGTCTCAGTCAGTTAAGCATCTGACTCTTGATTTCGGCTCAGGTCATGATCTCACGGTTGGTGAGTTTGAGCCCCACATAGGGCTCTACACTAACAGCACAGAGTCTGCTTGGGATCCTCTCTGTCCCTCTCCCGCTTGTGCGTGCTTTCTCTTTCTCTCAAAATAAATAAATAAACTTTAAAAATATTATTAAGGGACACCTGGGTGGCTCAGTTGGTTGTCTGACTTCAGCTCACGTCATGATCTCGTGGTTCAAGAGTTTGAGCCCCACATTGGGTTCTCTGCTGTCAGCACAGAGCCTGCTTTGGATCCTCTGTCCCTTTCTCACTGCCCCTCCACTGCTCATTCTCTCTCTCTCCCTCCCTCTCTCTCTCTCTTTCTCTCAAAAAATAAGTAAACTTTAAAAATATGTTTAAAAAATAGGAAGAGTTTGAGCCCCAGCCTCACAGAGCTGAGAACAGAAGACTGCATCTGGAGTTGAGAGACAATTGCTTAATAACCAGAATTGCTGCAGACCTGGAGTAGAAGGCCCTAATTCCAATTCATTCTTTCTCCTAGGTACATTTTTTTGTGTTCCAACTCAAAACTAAGTGTTCATCAGGATTCTCCTTATTCTGGTGGACCCTGGACACTAACCTCTGCCTCTTTAGAGCACCACACCCCTAGTAGAAGAACTAGCCCAAAAGTTGGGCTCATCTCTAGGTTTTCACTTTCCTTGGATCCTCATCAAGTAATTTTTTAATATCTTGTTTGACTTTCTGATGTCTTCAGGAAGATCCTTTTTATATTTTGCCCAACATTTCCAGTTATCAGGAAGAGTATAACTCTGATTTACTTAGTCAACCAAAATCAGACATGTGAAATGGTGTTTATTTATTAATTCAATAACATTAAAAATCCATCATAGGGGCAGTTGGGTGGCTTAGTTGATTGTGCATCCAACTTCAGCTCAGGTCATGATTTCTCAGTTCATGGGCTAGATAGAGTCCCACATCGGGCTCTGTGCTGACAGCTCAGAGCCTGGAGCCTGTTTCGGATTCTGTGTCTCCCTCTCTCTCTGCCTCTCTCCCCCCACCCAAAAATAAATAAACATTTAAAATAAATAAATAAATAAATAAATAATAAATAAACTTAAAAAATCAATTATAGACATTATGCTCCCTACTTTCACCTAAGACTATTACAGGAAACAGCTGTATGTGCAATACTTCTGAACTTTTGATAAAGTTTTGAATTAACAAATTCATCATTCACTATATTGTTTATATCACTTAAATGAAGACCTCCCCTGGCAAGTCAGCTTGGTATATGAGACCAGAATAAACATTCCCTCTCTTTCTCCCTCTCTTCTGAGATAGCCAAAGCTGAAGGCAGCAGGGTCAGACTTAGTCCTTAACCACTAGGCATGAGAAGGGAGCAGTGATGGACAGGAGGCAGTAGTGGCCAGAGGTCAAGGCCCTTCTTCTGGCACCCAAAAGGGGAGGCCCACCTATCAGGGAGCCCAGGTGGGAGAACAGCTGACAGACACAGATACAGAAGGGGGCAATTCATATTTTAGTCTGTGTTATAGACCCCTTTCAGCCTGGTAGGACCTCATGCAGGCCCAGGAGGCCCAGACGCCACCCAGGTGCAGTTCTGAGATCAGTTTCCCCTGTGTCAGGGCTTTTTTCTGCAGAAAACAATGAATTATACCGCTCAGGCCTCCAGCCATCCTGGAAACCGCCTTACCTTGAAGGAGGATTTCTGCCCCACATGAAGTCATGTCAGACCAAGCCCCCTCATGTTCTTAGCAGTAAGAATTTTTGTCACATTGTTCTACACCTTTGAGGACCTTCCAGCTCCTCCCTTACAGACAGCCATCCTGTCAGAACTAGACCTTTGCTTGAGCTATGGGCCAACTTGGGATGGCCTCTCCACCTCCCTGCCCAATGCAGACCCCATCCTTTCCAGGCTCAGCTGCTGTGGTGCCTCCACTAATCTCTTAGCAAACGGGCCAGCCCTCACCAGCACTACCCACAAAATCCTTCAGCCAGGATGACCATATTGCAGAAAAACATGTGACATAAATTGACCAGGGAGTAATTTACCCCCTTTCCAAGATGGCTGTAGTTAATTAATGTTTAGAATCTAGAGTCTTTTTTTTTTAATTTTTTTAATGTTTATTTTTGAGACACAGAGAGAGTAGGGGAGGGACAGAGAGAGAGGGAGACACAGAATCCGAAACAGGCTCCAGGCTCTGCACTGTCAGCACAAAGCCCGACACAGGGCTTGAACCCACAAACCATGAGATAATGACCTGAGCTGAAGTCATATTGTTTAACCAACTAAGCCACCCAGGAGCCCCTAGAATCTAGAGTCTTTTTTGTGTGTGCCCATGTATTAACAAATGTACAGATGCAAATTTCAATACTAGTTACTAAAACAAAATGGTTTCCCATAATATTATTTTTTAATTTTTTTAAATATTTTTAAAAATGTTTATTTATTTTTGAGAGACAGGGAGAGACAGAGCACGAGCGGGGCAGGGGCAGAGAGAGAGAGGGAGACACAGAATACCAAGCAGGCTCCAGACTCCAAGCTGTCAACACAGAGCCAGACGCGGGGCTCGAACTCACGAACCGTGAGATCATGACCTGAGCCGCAGTCGGACGCTCAA